CCTCAGGCAGGTCCCAAGTGCTGGGAGGAAGCAGGACCTGGGTCCAAGGCTCGCAGGCCAGGGGTGCTGGAGCTGCTGGGAGGCCTGGGACTTGCCAGACCCTCTGGCTGCGCTGCCTTCCAGCCTCAATGGCTCTTCCACCTGCTCTGCTCTAGGGAACCCGACAAGATGGGACCTTGGAGGATATCCCAGCCTTCCTGCCGCCTCCAGTGGCAAGACCACTTCTCTTGTCCTGGTGGAGGCAAGAGATGGGAGGCCGCACAAAGCCACAGGTTAAGAAACTCCAGTTGCCAAAAAAAATAAAAAATTAAAAAATTAAAAAAAGCCAGCACCGCGGCTCACTAGGCTAATCCTCCGCCTAGCGGCGCCGGCACACCGGGTTCTAGTCCTGGTCGGGGTGCCGGATTCTTTCCTGGTTGCCCCTCTTCCAGGCCAGCTCTCTACTGTGGCCAGGGAGTGCAGTGGAGGATGGCCCAGGTGCTTGGGCCCTGCACCCCATGGGAGACCAGGATAAGTACCTGGCTCCTGCCATCGGATCAGCGCGGTACGCTGGTCGCAGCGGCCATTTGAGGGCGAACCAATGGCAAAGGAAGACCTTTCTCTCTGTCTCTCTCTCTCACTGTCCACTCTGCCTATAAAAAAAAAGAAAGAAAGAAAGAAAGAAAGAAACTCCAGTTGCATTTCACAGGGTAGCAAAGTAAGTTGAAAGCATGGTTGCCCAGATCTAGATCCCAGCTCTGCTGTTTCTGTGGGACATGGAGCAAGGGACTTAACCCCTCAGTGCCTCGACTCCTCAGTAAAAGGAGGAGCCCCAGAGTACGGCCCTCACATGTCCGTGGCCGAATCAATGAGCTGCCAATGTGAAGCAGAGCAGAGCTCGCGTGTCGGGTTCCCTGGTCAGCCCCAGGCCAACAGGTCTACCAACCAGGGAGGTTCAGCCTGAGGGCGGGGCTTGCTTGCTCTTCTTGGCTGCCAGGCTGGGGATTTGAAAGTCTCTGGGGGCTGGTGCTGTGGCGTAGCAGGTAAAGCTCCCACCTATAGTGCCGGCATCCCTTATGGGCGCTGGTTCTAGTCCTGGCTGCTCCACTTCTAATCCAACTCTCTGCTGTGGCCTGGGAAAGCAGTAGAAGATGGCCCAAGTCCTTGAGCCCCTGCACCTGCATGGGAAGACCTGGAGGAAGCCCCTGGCTTCGGCTTGGCTCCTGCTGTTGTGGCCAACTGGGGAGTGAAACAGTGGATGGAAAACCTCTCTTTATCTATGCCTCTCCTCTCTCTGTGTAACTCTTTCAAATAAATAAATAAACCTTTAACAAAAAAAAAAAAAAAAAAAGAAAGAAAGAAAAGAAAGGAAGTCTCAGTTGCCAGGACTCGAGACAGCAAAGACCTGCATGAGAACTCTGACGCTGTGGACCATGACGACAACGCCAGTGGCAGCTCCCCAGCGCTGATGCTCCAGCCGCTCCCTACAGCCGCTCTGGGGCCGGCCGCCTCGCTCTGCAGATCAAGGAGCTGAGAGCCAAAGCGCTTCAATTCGCCCAGCAACAATGTCCCTGCCCCATCTGGAGTGAGCCCAAGACACAGCAGGTACCTCTTGCTTGCTGGTTGCTGGACTCACTCCCACTTTGCTCGGGCTGGCTCCTCCCTCTGTACCCTCAACTCCCCCCAGCGCTAGTCCTCCCCCCACCCACCCCGGGTCCTTGTGGTGACTTTCACGGCTATGCCCAGGAGGCTGTCACGGGTCAAGGAGGCAGGCCCTGCCCTGTGCAGGAAGCTGAGCACCAGGAGCCTTCGGCAGGCCCCTTGGTTCTGAGTGTCCCAGGTGGGAGGCGATGGGGGCGATGTGAGGACTCCAGGACTGGGCCGGATGGGCCATTTCCAGGGCACATTCTGCCAGGATCCGGATCTCCAGAAGGCATGGCTGAGACCCTGGCGTTTGTCCGGTAGGCCCAGGAGGCACGCGGGTCAAGTTCCTCTCTCTGTACCTCACCCGCCTCTCAGGGGCAGCCTCAGGTCCAGACCACGCCACTCCGTCTCTCCTCTTCATTCAATGTCAGTGTGGATTTCAGGGTCCAGCACGTCGACCTCCCTCTGGCCAAGTCCTCAACTTTCCTGCCCTGTCATCTCACCCCCACAGGCTCCTGGTTCACTTTCAACATGAGACCAACTGCTCCCAGCACCTGCGCCCTGGCCCCTGTGTGCTTCCAAGAAAACCTCGCTGTCCCCAGGCTGTGCCTGCTCGTATATGCAGTTAGAGTGCTCCCGAATCTCGCTGTGTTCCTGGTCTGATCCCTTACCCTTGCATAGCTGCTCTCTCCAAGTGCTTCCACTGCAGAGAAAGTGACTGGTGGTCGGGTTCTCCCCATTTCCTGCTACAAAATCTTTATCCTCCCCACCTCTCTTCCTCCCTTCTCCCCCTTCCTTCCTTCCTTCCTATCAAAATGGAGTTTCAAGGGGCCAACATTGGGTTGCTCCACTTCCAATCCAGTTTCCTGCTAATTGCCTGGGTGAAGCATCAGAGGATGGCCCAAGTGCTTGGGCCCCTGCCCCCCTGTGGGAGACCTGGCTGAAGCTCCTGGCTCCTGGCTTCTGTCTGGCCCAGTGTTGGCCATTGCAGCCACCTGGGGAGTGAACCAGCATATGGGAGATCTGTCTTTTCCTTTGTAACTCTGACGTTGAAATTAATAAATAAATCTTTAAAAAAAATGGAGCTGTAAACCCAACTCTTCCATTATGTGCCCTGGCCTCACCCAACCCACCCCTGCTCGGGACCTTGCCTAAGAATGACTCTTCTCTACCTTGTATCTTTAACCTCTTTTTTTTTTTTTTTTTAGATCAACATTTAATCAACCATATCTCTCCCATATTTAAAAAAAGTCTAAAAATTGATTTATTTTTTGTTTTATTTCAAAGGCAGACAGGGAGGCAGAGAGACAGAGACAAAGAGAGATCTTCCATTCGCTGGTTCCCGCCCCCAGATGCCCACAACAACCCTGGGCTGGGCCAGGCTGAAGCCAGGAATCAAGAATCCAGTCCAGGTCTCTCACACGGGTAGCAGGGACCCAAATACTTGAGCCATCATCTGCCAGCTCTCGGAGTGCATGCTTACAGGAAGCTGGATTGGACGTGGAGCGGGGACTGGAAACAGGCACTCTGATATGGGATGTGGGTGACACAAGTGGCGTCGAAACAGCTGCACCAATGCCTGCCCCCTCCTGTCTCAGAGACCCGTTGGTCCCCCCTTCTGCATGTCTTTCAGATCTGTTCTCTTTGACTTCTATCCCCTAGTCTGGCCACCCTCGCCTAAGCCCCGCCCACTAACCGCTGGACTATTTATTAATTTCCCAACTGATTCCCTGACTCCATTTTTACCCTTTCCAGTGAATTCCAAGTGCTCCTCTAAAAATATGATTCTGAACAGCTCATTCCTTGCTGAAAACCCTCCACTGGCTTCCTCTGGGCCTTAAGACACGGCCACATCTGCTGCGGGGCTCTGTGGCCCCGGGACTGGCCCCGGCCTCTCCCCAGCCTTACATGCCTGCACGGTTCTGTTGCCGGCGCTCCTCCTATTTTGTTTTTAATATGTATTTATTTCATTTTATTTGAAATGGTGGTGGTGGGGAGAGAGGTCTTCCATCTGTTAGTTCATTTCTCAAATGCTCAAGCCATGAGCCTGAAACTCAGTCAGAAGCAGAGCTGGGACTTGAACCCCAGGCACACGGATACAGACCATGGGCGTCCCAAGCGGCTCCTTAACAGCTGCTCCAAACACCCACCCTGGCCAAGGTCCTCTGATCTCCTTCTTCCTGCTGTTCCTTCTTTCTAGGATTCCCTTCCCAACCCTTCCCGCTTGGCCACTTGCTCCCCAGCCCTTTGGGGCCGGGCCCTCCTGGGGCTGTTCAGCTATTTCCTCTTTCTCTCCTAAGGCCAGCCCCCAGCTCCGCACAGCTGCTGCCCTGACCCAGTCCTGCTCTGGCCACAGCACTCCCAGTGTTTTCAGTGTCCCAAGGACAAAGTGCAAATTCCCCAGCTGGGCTGGCAAACAGAAGTAAGGAGGAGCGGCGGGAGGCTGCCAGTGGAAAGCGCCCCTCCCATGCTCCATTTTCACATGGAGTGGGGGGCTGAGGCTGCTGCAAGGGGGCGGGGCTGGGGTCAGCTTAGAGGGAGCTGATGCCGGTGTGCAGAGGGTGGGAGCAGGAGCTGGCCCGGGAACCACAGCGTGACCCGGTGGAGGCTGGCCGTGAGGAGTTCACGGGGAGGCTGCCTGCCTGTGCACGTGGACTTCTGTAAGAACCATGCACTGTAGCAGGTGCGGCAAAGGCAGATGCCTGGATTCACCCATGGAGGAGCTTGCTGAGGGTGTGGGACCGAAGAGGGGGAGCTAAGGGGCTGAGAAGTGTGTCAGGGAGTGGGGGAAATGGAGGCCCACGGGGAGGCAAGTGACTACAGGAGAGAGCGAGTGGAGGCCCGGGAGATACAGCCGGGGAGCTGGCTGCGATGTGCACTAAGCAGGGACCGGGGAAGGATATGAGCCAGCACCCTGGGCAGGAGGTGCTGGGAAGCCTGCTTTAGCCATGGAGGAGCTCAGTGCTTGGGCTGCCTGTGCCTGTGTCTTGAGCCAGCTCTCCCTGTCACCTGTCCCCCGACCTGGGCAGGTGTGCCAGGCCTCCTGGGGGTGCGTCCTCCACAGCCTGTCTGTCCCCTGAGAGCCCGGTGCCCGGCTCGCCAGCAGCAGCTGCCCTGCCGGCTGTTGGTGCTGTGTGACCCCCTCCTCGGGTCCAGGCCTCTGCGGTTCTGCCCTATCTTTCTCCCCTGGGTCTGCCCATGCTGCCCCTCCCTCCATCCAGCAGCGCTGTGTTCTCTCCAGGCTCTGCTTGGCCTCAGCTGTGGGAGCCCCCGTGGCTCTCTGGTAGCGTCTCTTGGGGACAGGGCTCCTTTCCCCACCTCTCCAGGCGGCTCTGTCTCCCGTGAGCTTCGGGTAACCAGGCCTTACGGGCAGGAAGTGAGGACGCCCTCTTGCTCCCCAGGGGACACTGCCAGCGCAGAGGGATTCACTGCTCTCCTGTGCCCAGCAGCGCAGGAGCAGGCCAGTGGGAGCAGCGTCTACACAGGCACATCATGTTCTGGCTCAGAGCGGGGACTCAGCGGAAAGGAGACCAGGGAGGTGCAGTCTCCAGAGGAGCCAGCTGCTCTCACCCAGCCCCGAACCAGCAACGGGCAAGGGCAAGGGCAAGGGCAAAGGAGTCGGGTCTCCACCTCCATCCCAGAGCTGAGCATCCCTCCAGCCCTCCCCACCCAGCTGCTCAGAGGAGAAGCCCAGGCCTGGCTCAGGAGTCCTGCAAGGCACCATGGACAGGGGTGGGGAGCGTGGGGCAGGGGTGAGGTCAAGATGCTGAGGACAACAACAGCTATTGTCATTTTATTGCACATCTGCCATGAGCCCCATCCATCCACCAGCCCTCGCTGTGACCACAGGCATTTAATCCCACAGTTGATGCCCTGGACCATGAGCCTCGAGACACGAGGGTGGGCGCGAGAGCCAGGGTCCCTTGCCTGAATCCTCGCGCTGTAAGGCCTCGGGGAGGAGTCCAACCCCAGGTCTGCCCCCTTCTGGACCCCGTGTCCTTTCCACGCTGCCCCAGTCACTCCTCCATGAGCAGCCCCGGGGGCAGCCTCTGGGGTGGGCAAGAGTCCGCTGGGGAAGGCCCTGGCAGCTGTCACAGGGCAGGGCTGGGTTTGCAAGGGCACAGGAATCCTCAGGGAGCCCAGACGTTTCTCTAACCCGGACATGTGGCTGACAGCGCCACCTGGGCTCCCGATCACACATCACACAACTCACGGAAGGACTGACACAGCCCTGGGCTGTGCACATGCATGCATTCGCCCTAGCATGGGCCGCGGGGACACCGAGGCAGGCGTGGGAAGCGGGGCTGTGGCCCTGTCAGATGAGGTTGGCGATGCTGGACGTGGTCTCGTGACGCTGGCCAGCAGACAGCTGTCCTGAGATGCTGAAGATGCTGCCGTGGCCGCTGTGGCCGTTGTGGGCAGAGGGGGCGGTACCCCTGCCAAGGGGGCAGTATCCACTCACGCCCACCTCATACAGCAGCAGGCCCAGCAGCAAGAGCGCGCCCAAGGCAGCCAGGGCAATGCCCACAGACAGCATGGCAGCCAGCGGCCGGGCAGGCGCAGGGGCGGCGGCCAGCCCAGCCAGGGTCAGGCCGGTGACCAGCAGCACGAGGCCACTGAGCAGCACCACGAGGGCATCGGCGCCCCCGCCACTGCGCAGCAGGGCCACGTGGTGGGGCTGGCGAATGCAGTTCATGTCCTGTATGGCCGAGCTCATCAGCTGCTTCACCAGCACCAGCAGGGCCAGCAGGCAGAGCACGGTGCCCGCTGCCAGGCGCCACTCGCCGGAGCGGCTGCTGGTGGAGGACAGCAGCACCACGCCGCCCGCCCCGCAGCCCGCCACAAGGCCCACGGCCACAGCGAAGCAGAGCGCCGAGCGCCGTGGCTGCTGGGACCACCACAGCTCCACTTGCTCTGCCAGCACATCTTGGGGCAGCCCCCGGGCCCCTGGGGCTTGAGCCACTTGTTCGGACATGCCTTGGTCAGGCAGGCCTAGGGTGGAAGGTCAGTGTCAGGGGTCAGGGGCTGTGGACCATGGCTCGGCAGCAGTAGGCCCAGAGTCCCATGCCCCTCAGTGTCCAGGCTGAAGTTGCTGTCACCTGCTGGGGAAGAGAGGCTGTGTCACCTCCTCAGCTCACCAGCTCTCACCTGGGAGCCTTGGGGATGAACCCTGGGAATCCTCCCCCTGTCTTCTGCCTTCTGCCCTGGGGAAGCCCTTCCCACCACTGACCCTGGCAGCGGCTCCCCCATGACCCCGGGAGAGTTCCCTCCCCCACAGGACCCCCTCCTCCCCATCAGGGAGTCCCCCTGCCCGGCCCCTGACCTCTCTGGCTCCGGCCGTCTCAGTCGCCTGTCCCATCCCTGCTGGCGGAGGGAGCTGGTGCCACGGTGGATGATGGGACCAATAGCTAGAGATAAAGCCTCATTCAGGATCCAACTCACATGGCCTCAGCTGTCACCGCTGGTTCCTGGGTGGGGAGGCTGGGGGTGGGGTGGGGTGGGGGGAGCCTATGACTTAACCCTTCTGGATCCAGCAGCCTGACCTGAATCCTCCCTTGGCTGTGCCTCCTCTTCTGTGTGTTAGGATCCGTCCCCAGTGCGCGCATTCCAGCCAATGCCACAGCCACAGATTTGGCAATGGAAGATGCTGGTTCCCAGAGCCATCTCTCTGCAACCCGTCCACCCCCTGCCCCCAAGCCAATTGTCCCCGCAATGTCCCACAGTCATCTCTGATGCCCAGGTGCCACCTGAGGTCATCATCGTATCCCAAACCCGAAGTTCTCTTTGTGTTCCGCACTTAGGGATCCCCTCGCTGCCCTTGTGGCGACTGCCCCCCCTACCCCGCTCCTGCTTCTGATCCAACCCGCCTTGAGGTGGGGAGCCCGCCTCTAAACCACCCCCCATGCTGGCCAGGCCGCTGCTCTCATCCCCCGAACTGCTGCGTCTTTACCCTCCCCCTCCTCCCCAGTCTACTGCTCCCCGATTTCTCTGAGCAGTGCCAAGGTCAAGGGGGGACTCTGGGGGAACTTGGCTGGAGACGCAGCAGTAGACACTTCTGTAGGCAGCTGGGAAAGCAAAGCCCCGGCCCCCAGGAGCTGCAGAGATGTGCATTTTGAGGGGTGGGGGATTGCAATGGGTCCTAAAGCCTGCCTGGACACTGAAGCTTGCATTTTGAATAAGCGAACCCCATGCTGCCCCTCCCGTTTAGGACAGGACACAGGACCCGAGTCTCAGATCACCCCAGGAATATGACTGATCATGTGACCAGGCACAGGCTATGTCCTGATCCATTCTCCACGGCCCCATGGGCGGGTGCCTGTGCCCCTACCGAGGTTGGGGAGGGGCCGTGGGCGGGACCGTGAAATCAGTTCCAGCATTCCGTGGGCTGTGACTTTGGGTTGAAAGAGCTTGCACAGGTGTGCTGGCGTGGAGGGGCTGGGCTGGGGGTGGGGCGCGGTTCTCAGAGGGGAAAAGCCAGTGGGAGAAGGTGGCAACGCCGTGGGCAGCGGGGTTGGGGGTGGGGACTCACGGGAAGCCTGGACGTGCTGGATCCGATCTGAGCAGGCAGGGCCGGGCAGGTGGGGCACTCTAGCTCCGTTTCCGGGGAGAACACTTCACCTGCTTAACCTGCACTCAGGTGAGCCTGGGGGTGGGGGTGGGTGTGGGGCGGGGAGGATCAACAGGTGTTTCCAGGGCAGGGCCTGAGCTGATTGGCTGACGTGGCCTGGCTCCTTCAGCTGGGCAGAGGCATTCCTGGGAAGGGAGGGACTCCGTCAGCTGCTGCTTGGCTCCGTGGCCCAGGATCCCAGGTCTGCAGGGGAGGAATCTCCTGTCTCTCCCCAGAGCTGGGCTGCAGCCCGACCCCCTCACCTGCTGTGACCCCTACTTAGCTCCAGCCTCAGAACCTAACCCCAGCCACAGCTGCAGCTTCTAACCCTAATAGAACTCCACCCAGCCCCAGCCGTTTCCGAATCCCAGCTCCAAATCCAACCCCACATCTGGCGTGGAGTCTCAGCACAACCTCCCAGCTTCAACCCAAAATCCAACCTCAGCCCCTCCCTGGATTCCTGATCCCGAATCCGTACCCCAAACCCAACTCCAACCTCAGACCCAGTCCCAGCCCCGATCCCAGCACTGGGGCCTCCATGCTCACCATTCCCACCTGCCTGAGCACCCCCAGGCCCTCTGCTCTCTCTCCTTCAAATCCTGCTGCGCTTGCCCCGCCTGCTGGGGGAGGTGGGGTCCAGGGAAGGGGGACGAGGAAAGGCCTTTCAGGTGGGACCCAGCAGCTCCCAGAACAGCAATGCCACACCGCGAAGGCTCACACAGTCGCTGCTGTTTCCCCCAGGTCAGGCACGTGCCCCTGGCCCCTTGCGCTCCCGTCAGAATGAGTCCAGTTCAGCTCTGCACACTCTGCTCTCCACTTTGCCCTTCTGATGTTTGAACCCGGAATTCGGGTTCAAACTAGCCTCTGTCTAGTTGAGTCACATTTCCCACCTCCTCCAGGAAGCCCTCTGTGATCTGCAAGCTGGTCTAGATGCCTCTTGGGTACATCCTTGTGCCTTCCCCACAACTCGCTCTCACCGCAAAGTGCTTAAGTCCCCTTCAGTTACTTCCCTGCCACCCTGCACCAGATCGAGTACAGGGATGCTGCCTGCTTGTTAACCACCAAGACCACAGCAGAAAGTAGCCAATAAATATTTGTTGACTGATTAATAAAAACATAGAAGCTGACAGGTGTGCAGGTTTTGTGCAGGGAGCACGGGGTGTGGGGACTAGGGGGTGAAGCTGGAAACACAAGTTTGGGCCAGGCCAGAGGGAGCCAGAGCACCAGAGGGAGGCGGGGAGTGTGTGAGGTGCTCACAGGCCGGGGTGGGGGGTTCTGAACCTTTCAGGGACCTGGTCATGGCTGTGCTTCTACCCAGCGAGCCTGGGGCCACACCCTCCACGCTCCAGAGTGGGAGGAGGGCGTCGGCCGGACTGGCCCCCTACAATGCCACTTGCTCTCTTCTGATGCGTAGGAAATAGAAAGGAAGACCAGGGCCAGTGCTGTGACACCTGCTGCCTGGGACATGCGCACCTCCTAGGAGACAGCTGGCTGCTCCGCTTCCAATCCAGCTCCCTGCTAGTGCACCCGGGAAAGCAGTGCAGGATGGCCCAAGTACTTGGGTCCCTGTCACCCGTGTGCATGACCCAGATGGAGTTCTGGGCTGCTGCCTTTGGCTTAGCCAAGGCCTGACTGTTGTGGCCATTTGGGGAGTGATGCAGAGATGGAAGATCTCCCTCTGTATCTGTCACATTGCCTTTCTTTCTTTCATTCTTTTCTTTTTTTTTTTAAGTGTATTTATTTATTTGAAATGTAGCTACAGAGAGGGAGAGACAAAGAGAGAGAGAAAGAGAGAGAGAGAGAGAGATTGGTCTTCCATCTGCTGGTTCACTCCCCAGGTGGCCACGAGGGCCGGAGTTACACCGATCAGAAGCCAGAAGCCAGGAGCCAGGAGCTTCTTCTGGGTCTCACACGTGGGTACAGGGGCCCAAGGACTTGGGCCATCTTCCACTGTTTTCCCAGGCCATAGCAGAGAGCTGGTTGGGAAGTGGAGCAGCCGGGACACGGACCAGCGCCATATGGGATGCCGGCGCTGCAGGCGGCAGCTTTACCTGCTACACCACAGCGCCGCCCCAAGATTCCCTCTATAGTGGAGGAGCTGGGGGGCAGGGGCCTGGCAGGGCTCGATGGCTGCAGATTCCTCTTGCACACGTCTGACATTAATTTCCTCCCTCCCCAAGAAAGGGTGCAGTCTCAGCATGGACCAGCTGCCCAGGGAACTGGGCCAGGGCACCCCTGAATGTCCCTCTTTTTTTTTTTTTCTACCTTCCCTGTGGGTTTGAAGCAGGGGAAGCAAGCCTGGAAGCTTCTTCACTTTCAACTTTGTTCTGGATCCGGGTCTTATCTAACGACTTGGAGCTGAAGTGGAAAGGCAGGCTGTGTCCAGGACGGGTGAACTCTGGCCCCCAAGCCCAGGTTGCTGGCGCAGCCCAGCTGGTAGCGGTGGCGGTCGGGAGGGGGCAGCAGCGGCCGCAGAGGGGACTGCGGGTTCTAACAGCCTCGGATGCACGCGGGAGGAGGTGGTGGTGGGAGCTCTCCCCCTCCTGCTGTGTGCCCTCCTCGGACTCTTCTTAGCCTGGCAGCCGGGAGCTGGACACTGGGTGCTCCCGCGTAAGGAGGGCGGGGCAGGTCCTGTCCCTGCTCTGTGGAGGTCCCACCCGTGGCTGGCGGGCCTGTGCGCTCTGCCCTCACTCCTGCTGCCCCAGCCGCTCCCTCTGCCCGGGGTCCTTCAGAAACGTCCTCAGATGTCCCCTTCTAGGAGGACCTTCCCACCACCCTTGCTAACATTGCGACCTCCCCCAACTACTCTTAGTGCTTACCCCTCTGGGAGAGGCTACGGCTTCTCTCCTCTGTCCTGAACGCTGTCTGCTCCCCCACGGGCAGCGAAGCATCCCTCTGCCCCTGTGTGCTGTATCCCAGCCCCTGGAATAAGCCCAGCATGAGCCGGGGCTCAGGGAGCGTCTGTGCAGTGAGTGACGGGTGGGGAGGATGCTCGTCGGGAGCTACATCGATCGCGGAGGGCCAGATCCCTGCCGTAGCCGTGTAGCCTTAGAAACACTGCTTCACCTCGATGGGTCTCAGCACCCTCATCTGTAAAGTGGGTACAGCAGGACGCAGCCTGCATAGTCCTGTGTGTGTGAACGGATGATGCGCTGAGTTCATCCAGCACACATCATTGCATCCCTTCTCTGGCCCAGGCATTTTTTTTTAAAGACTTATTTATTTGAAAGGCAGAGTTACAGGGGGAGGGGGAGAGACCTGTCATCCTCCTAAATGACTGCAATGGCCGGGACTAGGTCAGGCTGAAGCCAGGAGCCCAGAACGCCATCTGGGTCTCTCACATGGATGCAGGGGCCCAGGCTTCCCCAGGTGCATCAGCAGGGAGCTGGATTGGAAGTGGAGCAGCCGGGACTTGAACCAGCACTCATAAGGGATGTTGGTGATGGCGGCAGTGGCAGCTTAACCCGCTGTGCCCCAGTGCCGGCCCCTGCCCAGGTATTGTGCAGGCGCTGGAGGTACAGTGGGGCTCACAATGGGCCCGTCCTAGGCCACTGGAGAAGCATAGGCACACAGCCCCATGTAACTGCAGGTTACGTAACTGCTCCAGGCACCCATGCCCACGCTCGGTGAGTGACAGGTCCCCACACAGACACCCCTCAGAGTACCCACTCACAAAGACCACCCCCGGTGGCCGGCAGTGACCCCCACCTATGGCTATAGCTGACAGAACAGAGGTGAGCCCCAGGCTCAAATGAGGCCCCAAATAATCCCTTTTGGCCACTTAGAATTGTTCTGCTTTTCAGGTCGGTCTGGGGGCTTCTGTGAGGGCCAGATGCTAAGGTGCCCTTCTGCTGGCTGGACAGGCTCCGGGAGGCCACTCTGCGGAGAGGGGCAAGGACAAGGGATGGATGGGCTCTGCTTCAAGTCCTAGAGGCCACACGATTCCAGGAGACATCCCCAGAGCCGCAGAATAAATACTTCTGTTTTGATTAAACTGGCTGGAGTTGGCTTCTGTTACTTGTAGCCAATGAAGGGTGCCCAGAGCTCCTCTGTTCAGAGCTAGAATCCCAGAGCCCCCACCTGAATGGGTTAAATGTGTGAATGTAACAGAGCAGATGCTTAGAAAGCACTGGGCCGCAGGTGCCGCCCTGCCAAATCCCACCACGTGCTGGGTGAGCGATCCACACACATTCTGCTGGTTTTGGTGATCAGCCAAAGCCAGTCCCTCCTGCCACCTGGCATGTGGCAGATTCTTTCCTTGTAACTCTCCCCCAGTCTAGCTCAGCTCTGCAGATTCCGGCTGTATCTGACGTGCTCAGAATTAAGCACCCACTCTGGTCCTGAGATGCCTTTTTTTTTTTTTTTAAGATTTATTTATTTATTTGAAAGTCAGAATTACACAGAGAGAGGGACACACACACACACACACATACACACCCACACAGATATCTTAAATCTGCTGGTTCACTCCCCAAATGGCCGCAGTGGCCAGGGCTGGGCCAGGAGCCAGGAGCTTCCTTGGGGTCTCCCACATGGGTGCAGGGGCCCAGGCACTTGGGGCATCTTCTGCTACTTTCCCAGGTGCATTAGCAGGGAGCTGGATCAGAAGTGGAGCAGCCCAGACTCAAACTGGTTCTCCCATGGGATGCTGACCTTGCAGGTGGTGGCTTTACCTGCTCTACCATAACGCTGGTCCCCCAAGATGCCTTTTCTATCACCTCCCCAAATCCAGGGTGTTGATGGTAAGGGGAGCCCTCCCTGGGCATGAAAATGTGCCCAGGCCCACGAGGGCCCTCTGGCAGCCCCCAGGAACAGCTGGTTGGTAATGGCAGGAGGGAAGCAGTGGCCATGCTCTGTGTAAAAAGCAGCAGGGAAAGGTGGAGGTTGATGGCGGGGCCTCCTGCAGGGTGGGGTCTTGGGCACAGAGGAGGCTCCTACCGTCTGGCCACCATGAATGCCGATATCCCAGAGCAAGCAGAGCGGCCCAGGAGACATCCAAGGCTCAGAGAAAGTCTGGAGTTTTATGCAAGGTGGCACAGCAGCCC